ACAAAAAAATTTACACTTTCAGCCCCTATCCACAATATACCACATCTGCAATTGCGGACCTATCCCTGGCGTTTCAAAAAGTTACAAATTTTATTGTGGACCTGGTTTTTGCGGACCTAACACGTGTCAGCCCCGAGTGAACCCTAAATCCAACTTTATCTTAACCAAAGCTAGGTCCGCATTTTTGACCTTTGACCTTCGCAATTTATCAAAATAAAAAATCTCATTTTCACATTTTTTAGACTTGTTTAATTACGAACATACACTATTTTTTTCAACAAAACGTGAGAAAAATATGAAATTTGTTCAATAATTGTACTAATTTTTAGTTTCTGACTGATGGTTGGTTGGAATTCATCTGATCTATAAAATTGCTTTGAAGGAATGGTGAAGTTATGCAGAAAAACAATACCAGCTTAATTTCTTTCAGTCTTTGTTCATCATATATCTTTCTTTCGTCAATTTATTTGGAAATGAGTTCTGGTCCTGAAAAAATTAAGTTATGTATTCATTCTGGTGGTCAATAGGTGAAGAAAAACAATGAGTGGATATGTTTCTTCTTGTCAAACAATGCACAATGTTGTACAATTGCACACAAACGTTACACATGAAAGCTTAGTCGATTATGTTTAGAGAAATGTGTTATGAACAGTTCTGTTGGTATAACTAAGTTAGTGGTTCAAGTAATGAGTTAGCTGACGATGAAGATGTTTGTGGTTTCACGGAATTTGCTGTTGAGTCAAATAAACCGTCTACACTTTATGTGTATGTCGATCTTTCAATGTGTGGTGAAGGTGATGTCGGTGGTAGTTTGAACACTGAAAACCATCAAACCTAATCAACATCAAACACAAAGAATGTATGTTCATCAGTTCGAGTATGAGTCTCAATATAAGCGCTCCTATGACCCAATCAAGAAGAAGAAGAAAAAGGATGTTCTGTTGGAGTTGATAATGACGAGGCCCATGTTTTCACATTGGATATATCTAATATTGATTTATCAGAAATGGATGAAGACGAAGAAAACGTAGAAGCAAGAACTCGTTCTGATAAATCATTTGGTGGGATAAATGATTCCTTTGATATGCCTCCTCCCCTTCCAACCCTAGAGCCCTCTATCACACCCAACCAACCCATATATTACAATCATAATGGAAGAATAGTTTTGAGTCAGTTATTTAATACGAAAAATGAAATTATCATAGAGCTCGGAATGTAGTTTATTGAAAAAGGGTTTCGAGTTTAAAGTAAACAAATCTTCTGAAACAAGATACGAGGTTGTATGTGTCCAAAAGAATTATGGTTGGCATATAATGGCGTCCTCCGTAAAAAAATGCAAGATGTTTCATATATGAAAGTTGTAGGACATACACACATGTAGAAAGACCCAATTGCATCTAGTCATCGTCAAGCAAACAAAAAGGTGTTGGGTCATATATTGAAAGCCTTATTCTTAGATGCTAGCAAGACACTTCGGCCACAAGACGTTGTGTACGATATGAACCAGTAGTATGGTATTACTATTGGGTACCACCAATCTTGGCATGCTAGATGGAATGTGATGTTCCCAGATTCACAATCATTCAATCACAATTACCAAATTCACATAGAATAATAGTGGAAGGGATCATCCTCTCTCACAATGATTTGATGATGATCCTTTTTATATAACGAAGTGTACTATCTCTTTATTTAGCTATAGTGATCATCACTGAGTTTGTTTAGTGATCGCTGAACATGTATTGTAATTCTCTCAGAGACAAGTATTCTTCAGGAAGACAAAACTCACACCATATAACTTTTAGTTATATCGAAGATAAAGCTGAAGACAAAGACGAGCAAATTCATGATCTGATGCGGTTGTCAGTGATAACAAGTCTGTCTACACAAGTGTGAAATCTACTCAAGATTCAACAAACACTGAAGAGACCTCAGCGTTATTCCAGTGTCAGCGATCAGATGAATCTTGTTGAACAAGATTAGTTTTTGTCTTGTCCTTCTACACACAAAGGACAAACCCATACCTTTCAAAGTATAGTACATGTACAGAGTCACTTTATTATCTCCGAACGTGCTTACCTACTTTGTGAAAGACCACTATTTACATACAACCAAAAGCATGAAAATCTGAA